CCAAGGCGTCGTTCCACAATCCAGCTGCCAGATGGGGACAAGCGGGAAGGCTGCGCCGCGCTCGCGCCAAGTCCATCCGACCTCAACTGGTTCAGCTGAGCATCCCCTGGCAGGGTGCCAGGGGGCCCGGACTCCCGAGGGCCCCAGGGTCTCAGAAGATTTTGACATTGCGTCGTCGGGGGCCGCGCCTGAGGGACTTTTCGTCGAACCTCTGGTGAATACTAAATTCTGTGTTATTCTATGAAGGAAACGGTTCGTGTACACAAGCTCAGGAGCACGTCCGAATTCTTCGTAGGTCTGCGAGCGCACTGTCTGTCCACATTGAAGCCCCAGATCTGCGTGCTCATGCGAGAGCAACTCGCGTGCCTCACTCCACGGTCGCGGTCTCCAAGAGGCAATGCTTCTGGGCGGGGGGGGGGGGGTGAAAGACGCGCGGCTATTTGGCCTCCAGATGCGCCGCCGATAGATGCGGGCGCTCGAGCGGGGCCCACCCTGTCAGACTCTGTCGGCGCAGCTGAGCCTCGCCGAGAGCAGGGCCCCCAATGAGATGTCTCATGATTACGCAGCCAGCTATAATCTCAGACCTTTCCACGCTAACATGACGCTCAGCAGCGAAAGGGCCACCTTTATTGCGCGCAAGGGGCGCAGGCGCCGATCAGCCTGCATGGCGCGAACCTAATTCCCACGGGCGCGCGTCAAGAGTTGCGAGTTGCACGCAGCATTGGACAGTGGATTCCATGCTTGGGCTCACCTGCTCCGTTTCGCCTCCTTTGTTTGGTCTGCCGAGCGCCGCCGATCCCCTTATTGGCGCGCGCCTGTCCTAGACAGGCAGTAGATGCGCGGCCCTGATATGGTTGCATATTTCCAACAAGCACCCCAGAGCGTGGCCCAGTGGCCTTGGGGGCTCAACGCTGACGAACATGGTTTGGATCTTATGTGTTAGCGCGAGGTCGCGGACATTGCTGCCTCCTCGTTCAAGTGCCCATTCAGGCCCTTCAGACAGAACAAAAAACTTGTTGCCCATCGGGCTTTCGGCCGCGGACATGGGGGCGGTCGGGCCAGAGAGCTTGGAAATAATGGCGCAGTCTTCAGCCCGCGGCCCCCGCCAGGTTTCGAGCCCTCGCGGTGACCTGGCAGGCTTTCGCGAGGCGGGCGCTCCAGGGTTACTCGGCGAGCACGGGCTGGCTTTCTCAGGATCCCACCATGGTGTCGCTCTCGGAAGTGCTAACGGGAGTGGCGCGGCTCCTTTCGCGAACGGGCCATCCAGCAGGACTGGTTGGCCAGATTGGTCTGCCTGTAGAAGGGTGCGTTTTGCAGCCGCGATTGCCGGCGCTATGGCGCGCTCACTCGAGAAGGACCATTCGTCCTTTTCTGAGCACGGCCGCCCATAATTATTTATCGGCCGACGCTTCCATGCCCGCCTATGCGCGGCGAGATATTATGATTCTTCTCAGCCGCGGCACCTGGAACTCAGGCCCGTTCACAGGCGCCGACGCCATTCCCTACGTGACCGACGAGGGGGTGCCACAGCGGCGCGCCGCAACGACTCCAGCGACCGCCACCGGCACAGCACGCATGTCGACGGCGACAGCATCAACATCAGGATGGCAACGGGAGGTGCTCCGAACGGCCGACGAAGTCTCCGCACCCATGCAGAAACATTTTTAGCAAACGCTGGGTTGGGAACACGTGCTCGCTCAGACAGACAGATTGGTGACAGCATGCCCAATCTCTGCCATGACCTACAGGCCACGGGTTTGTCCTTGCCCCCCGCTCCCCTGGACTGGGGAGCATTGACGCGAGGGCTTTTCCGAGGCCGCCCCCCTGGGCCAGACGGTGCCCCTAGTGACCTTTCTGGTCATGCTCCTCGGGGACAGGCTGATCAACCGCGCTCTTTGCCACCCGAGCGTTCCGTCTTGGCAAGAGAACGGCTGCCTTTTCAAGCCGGCGAAGTGTGATTTTTCTCAGAGGGCTTCGGTGGCCTTGCAGCGACTAAATCTCAGAGGAACAGTTTGCTCGCCAGCACGCTCGGCGAGCTTCACCACAAGCGCATTATACCACTAGCTCGCGATTACTGCGCCGCAGCTCTGATTGCGCAGCAGCGCGGCGGTGCGCGCGGGCGCAGCGTTGCCTTGTTGTGCTAGGGCTCAGGCTTTTCCACTAGAGCTATGATCAGTATCGACAAGTCCTCTATCATGCTCTGCCTAGACCCTGCGCGGGCTTTCCACAGCGCCACCCGCCAGCTGGCCGTCGAGTTAGCAGGGGGAAGCAAGCTTCGATCAGGCTCTTGGAAGGATGGACATTCACCCCGTCCTCGCGCAAGGCGCGCTTGCTCAACTTCGCACCAAGCCCCTGCTAGAGAAACGCGCCCCCATCGGGGCACCATCTGGCCGTCACTCGAGGAACCCGATCTGTCTTTTTTTCGAGACTTGACAGCCGTCCTGGGGCCATCTTTGCCGCCGACACCTTCAACGCTGTTTCCGCTGCAGTGCAGCTCGGTGCCGAGTCGGAATTCCGCGATGCAGGGTTTGATTTGCACGAGTGTCTTGGCCAACCTGAGGCTCGCTGATCAACGGCCCTGGACTGGCCGAGAGCCGACCTGGACTTCTCGTTCGTTGACGACTTGGCGGTTGCTGTCGCAGTGCCCCGGGCGGGTCTTGCGCCTGCGCGTGCTCTCGCGTTTTCTCTCTGAAGTAGTCTTGTAAACTGCTTGTCGCGCGGGCTGCAAATCCAACGCCCTGAAGACCGAGCTTCTGGTTTCTTTTAGGAGCCTTGGGCCACGCAGCGTCTCCGCCCGGAGGTTTGAACTCATGAGTTTGGTTCTAGCTTTCCCGCGGTCAAGATTCAGAAGATGCCGCGTTAGCCGCGGATGGTCCTCGCGGGCCCGAGGCGGCTGCCGGGGCTCCCAAGGCCCTCGGCGCTTCGACGCGCGTTTTTGCTACAGACGCCCACAGAAAAAAAGGCCCCCCCACACTAGCGCGCGATCAATCTCTCGATGGGTTCGGGGGCAACAGTGCTTCACTGCAGTGCAGCTACGTGACAGAGGCCGCCCTTGCATTTGGAGCAACGCATCGCGACTGTCCACGTGGCTATAAACCACACGGCTCTCGGCATGCCCACCACCAATAATGGTGCGACTCACGCTTCCAGTTCGCAGGTATCATTCAATGCGCAAAGACAGCCGTCGACCGTCGTTCGTTCAGTTCGAAGGCCCCGCCTGCTCCCCGGAGTTATTTGTTCGGCTCCACCTATGGTTCGTCCGTTGGCCGGCCTTTTCTGGAACGATGATCAGAACTTGTGTGGATTGGTAGTGGGGGATTTGGCTTGGTTGGTCTTATACTTGAGCCCTGTGCTCCCAGTGGCAGGGGACCATGGGGCCTCGAATTCAGATGGTTTGCAGCGAGCCTGGGTGCTTTCTGTAGAAGGTCCGCGCCGCGGTCAAGCGCGCCGAGCCGCGCTAGCTAGACCTGGCACGCTGTGGCGCGACAGGCCCAAAAAGATGTCTAAAGGAACTGCTTTGGAAAACTCGGTTGGGGCTGCTGCTGAAGGCAGAGGCTGTCTCTCATCGGAAGACGGACAGGTCCGATGCCGATGTGGCTCAGCCGAGGCTGCATTGCCAAGGCCCAGCATTGGGCCCATTACTCAAGACAACAAGACCTGAAAGTAAAGCAGCAGCAGGGTCCTAACAGGTCCCACTTCCCCCTCCCCTGCCTGTTGCTTGGAACCCGATGGAACCCGACCAGGACCCCTGTCTGCCCTGCCACGTTCGTGCTGCATGTACTTTCAAGGCACAGGAGGGCGAACGGTATTCAAGACCACGGTGAGACCTCCCAGGGCAGGTTTCGCACGTGGCTTTTATTCAGTTTATATGGCTGTTACAAGCACTTGATCCACCAATGCCGCCATGGGGCCATGGTAGTCAAACTCACGGTGTTGTCTTGCGTTCACCTGTTGTGTTGTCAACCAATATTTTTAAGCCATGTCCGGAGGCCCATCGTGCAATCATGCTGCCCCCACCTTGTGCGCAGTGGACGCAGGACTGACAGCACCTGGGGAACGGCTGCGGCCAAGGTTTACCCGTCAGGTTTATGCGATTTCCTGGCCTCTTCCATGCTCCAGGACGTGCGTTCCAGGTTTCCGTAATTTTGTCAGGGTTCTCAGAGTATTGGCACAAACCCGTCTGTTTCTTTTTCGTTGTCTGGCGGGCCTTTTGCCCGTCTCCGTTGGTCTTGGTCTCGTGTGGCTTGCCTGCGAGATACAGTGCCGATGATCCTGCTTCGGTACCATGTTCCCAGGATCCCGTATATCATCACATTACTTCATGCGTTGCATATTGGAGGACAACCAGGGTTCCCAGTGACTTATGTCAATAAGGTGTGCAAGGACCGAATCATTAGTCATTCCTCTTTCTCAGTTCATGGATTGCTGCTCAGGCGGGAGTTGGTGCATAGGGAAATACCTTTGAGTGAATGTTAGGACAGGGTTACTTGCCTCTTCCCGTGTACGTGCACGCTGTTAAAAAGGAGTAACTCAGAGGTGTTGGAGCTCTTGCTCCACCTAGTTGTTTTACAACAGTATCTGCACCAGCCTGGGGCCACTCGCGCACCGCTTTTTTAGTGGTTGCGCCCATGGCGCGGCTTCAGCTTGTTCCACTCTTGGTCCTGATGTTGCCTCTGCTTTGTTCTTCACCAAGTGGTTTTCTCGCTCTCCATTTTTCCATATCGGCTTCGAACCTTTGGCCGCACGACCGACCGACCGACCGAGGAGGAGGAGGAGGAGGAAGAGGAGGAGGAGGAGGAAGAGGAGGAGGACAGGGGAGTTGAGGATGAGAGGGAGGACGGACGCGCAAGAAGCTTTCGGGGAGGGAGGGAGGGAGGACAAGGACGAGAAACGATGCTAATCGGTGATCTCCCGCCCCTGCCCGGGTCGAGGAGGAACGCGGCAGAGGGGAGAGGGGCAGGAGAAGGGGGGGATGGGGAGAGGCCCCCCGGCGCGCGCAGGCCTGCGCCAGCGCACGCCGCTCACGCGCGGACTCGCCAGCGCCAACGGCTCCGCGTCAGGAGGACTGCGGCGCTCTGCCTGCGGGCAGCCTGGCGGTCAGTCGGGGCAACTTTCCTCGGCCAGGAGGGGGGGGGGAGGCTCCAGGTTCGAGATTATCTTGCGCTTTCGTTGGCCCTCGGCGTTTTTCCTTGCCTCGGTGCGCGTTCCAGCAGCGGCGCCCCGCCGAGAGCGGTCCGGGGGTGCACAGATCGTGCCGAACGGCCGCCAAAGAGCCGGGGTACGACCCGAAAACCCAGGGGTAACGTTTGGGGGAGGTAGATTCAGGGGGGATGCGTCGACCCCCGATCGCCCATTGATCGCCGATGGGGGCCCGATAGCCCGCGCCCAGGAACTCGCGGGTTCGCTTTCGGGGGGCCTATCGCCAATCCATCCCATCGGCGATGCATCGCCGATTCCAGCTCGGCTCGATGTTCCCCCCTCTGAGCTGGTCCCCCATAAAGCTGAAAAAGAGAACACGGCATGACCACAAACTTTCGGAGTTCCGCGCGGATTTCCTGGGTCGGCGCTGGACCCCCTGGCGGCGCGTCCGCCGCCCTTCCTGGCGCGCTCCGCGCGCCAGGGAGGGGGTTCCAACGCCGATCCAAGAAATCCGCGCGGACCTCCGAAAGCGTATGCGCATGCCATGCCTCGATGCTCTACACAAGGCCGCCCATGTCTCCGCGAGAGCGCTGGTGCCTTAAACCAGCCTCGAGCCCCGCCCCCGACGTAGCAAACGCGCAGACAGGCCCACCCGGGCGCAGGCCGTGATATGCAATACAGCTCCAGACCCCCCATCCAGAGATCGGCCTGCGGGTATGCCACGGCGGAAGCACAGGCGGGGCCTGTGCCGGCGGTGTGTGAAGTGCGTGGCTGGGCAGGCGGGGGGCGGACAGAGGGGCCCGCGGGAGGCAGCCGCACACCACCGCCGTCTTTGCCCTGCAGAGGGGCCTTCCCAGTCGCGGAAGCTTGTGGGCGACCTGGGGAAGATGGGGGAGGAAGGAGGAGGAGGAAGGAAGGACGGAAGGAAGGAAGGAAGGAAAGAGGAGGAGGAGGAAGAGGAGGAGGAGGAAGAGGAGGAGGATGCGGAGGAGGAGATGGAGGAGGAGGAGGAGGAGGAGGAGGAGGAGAGGGAGGTGGAGGAGAAGAAGGAGGAGGAGGGGATCGAGTACCAGAGCAGCCGGCGCACACGCAGCGGCCAGCAGCCGTTGCCGCGCTGACTACGGCCACGACCACGACGTCGACCCCAGTCGGCGCGACGACCGACCCCCGTCCCCCCCATCCCTCTCATTCCTCCCCCCCCCTTCCTCGCCTCTTCCGGATGGACCTCTCCGGCTTTCCGCTTCCACGAGCGACGAGCGTGGAGGCGAGGGTTTCGCCGGCAAGTTCATGTATTAGTTCTGTGAGCAGAGCGGTATTCCTTTAGTGGGGCCCTTGCAGAAGGCTGTTGTGGATTGTCAGGTCTTGTTTCGCCCTTTGGCGCCCCGGTAAAGGTGCATGATCGTGATGCTGTCGTGGTGTTGCACCCGGTGGCCGCTGCAGGCTGTGCATGTCGAGGGCCCTGCTGCCGCCAGCGTGCTGGCTTGGGACGCCCAGAAGGGAAGGACGATGATGATGATGATGATGATGATGATGATGATGTTGTTGTTGATGATGATGATGATCATGATGATGGAGGTGGTGGTGGTGGTGGTGACGATGACAATGATGATGATGATGATGACGATGATGATGATGATGATGATACTAATCATATTGATGATGATGATGATGACGATGATGACCACGATGATGATAATAGCAATGATGATGGTAAATGATGATGATGCTGCTGATGCTGATGATGATGCTGATGATGATGCTGATGATGGCAATGATCATGCCGATGCTGATGCCAGTGAAGATGATGCTGATGCTGATGATGATAATGATGATGATAATGACAATGATGGTTATGATGATGATGAGAGTAATGATGATAATACTAATGACTTTGATGACGATACTAATGATAATGACAATGATGATAAGGATGACGATGCTGATGATACTAATGCTGGTGATGATGGTGATGATGATGCTACTAATGATGCTGATGCTGATGCTGATGCTGATGCTGACACTGACACTGATGACGATGGTGATGCTGGTGCTGATGCTGATGCTGATGATGAGAATGCTGATGAGTATGATGATGACAATGATGAGCCAGATGATGCTGATGATGATGAAGATGATGATGACAATGATGATGGTAATGGTGATGATGGGGATGATGATGATGATGATGCTGACAATGATGAAACTGATGATGCTGATGATTGTGGCGATGATTTTGATGATGATGGCGATGATGATCATGCTGATGATGCTGATGCTGATGATGCTGATACTGCTGATGCTGATGTTGATGCTGATGACATTGATGATGATAATGATGTCGATGATATGCATTATGCTGACGCTGATGATTACGATGATGATGATGCTGATAACGATGGTGCTGCTCTTGATGATACTGATGATGGTAATGATGATAGTGCTGATACTGGTGATGATGCTGATGAGTATGATGATGCCGATACTGCTGATGATTATACTGATGCTGATGATCATGATGATGCTGAGGATGATGACGATGGTGATGCTGATGGCAATGCTGTTGACGATGTTGAGTTTGATGAGAATGCTGATGCTAATGCTGTTGATGCTGATGATGATGATGATGCTGATGATCATGACGATAGTACTGATGGTGTTGATGACGATAACGATGATGAGAATGATGGCGATGCTAATAATGATGAGGTTGATGATGGTAATAATATATATATATATAATATATGTATATATGATGCTGCTGACGCTGACGATGATGCCGATGCTGCTGATGATGATGGCAATGCTGATGGTGATGTTGCTGTTGATGCCAAGCATGGTGATGTTGATACTGCTGACGCTGATGCTGATGCTAATAAAGATGCTGCTAATAGTAACGATACTAGTAATTATCATACTTAACGTGATGATGCTGACACGGGTGCTGATGATGATCATGATGTTGATTATGATGCCAGTGATGATGATGATGCTGATGATGATGACGATGATGATGATGATGATGACGACGATGATGACGATGATGATGCTGGTGATGGTGATGGTGATGGTGATGATGATGATGCTGATGATGATGGTACTATTGGTGATGATGATGTTGGTGATGTTGATACTGATGGTGATGCGGCTGTTGATGCTGATTATGATGTTACCGATGATAGTTGTGATATGATGATGCTGGTAATGCTTCGTCTGATGCTGCTGCTGATGCTGATGCCTATGGTGATGCTGATGACGACGTCGCTGATGGTGATGATGCTGATGGTGGTGATGATGGTGATGGTGATGGATGATGATGACGATGATTATGGTGCTGCTGACGCTGATGGGAAGTTGGAGGAGAAGGAGCAGGAGGAGCAGGAGCAGGATTAGCCGGAGCAGGAGAAAGATCACGACGACGACGACGAGGACGAGGAAGAGGAAGGGGGTAGGTGGAGGAGGAGGGGGAGGAGGAGGAGGAAGAGGAGGAGGAGGAGGAGGAGGAAGAGGAGCAGGAGCAGGAGGAGCAAGAGGAGGAGGGGGATGAGGAGGAGGAGGAGGAGGAGGAAGAAGAGGAGGAGGAGGAGGAGGAGGAGGACGAGGAGGAGCAGGAGGAGGGAGGAGGAAGAGGAGCAGGAGGAGGAGGAGGAGGAGGAGGAGGAGGAGGAGGAAGAGGAGGAGAGGAGGAGGAGGAGGAGGAGGGGGAGGAGGGGGGGGGGGGGAGGAGGAGGAGGAGGAGGAGAGGGAGGAGGAGGAGGGAGGAGGAGGAGGAGGAGGAGGAGAGGAGGAGAGGAGAAGAAGGAGGAGGGGGGGGAGGAGGGGAGGATGAGGGGGAGGAGGAGGAGGAGGAGGAAGAGGAGAGAGGAGGAGGACGAGGAGGAGGTGGAGGAGTAGGAGGAGGAGAAGGAATAGGAGGGAGAGGAGGAGGAGGTGGAGGAGGAGGAGGAGGAGTAGCAGCAGCAGCATGAGGAGGAGGAGGAGGAGGAGGAGGAGGAGGAGGAGGAGGAGGACCTCTCCCCTTGCCAGGACGCTCCCGCAAAGGACAGCCCCTTGGCAGAGGACCTGCCCGTGCTCGCGGTGCCCGCCCGCGGGCGGCCGCGGGGCTGCGGCGGGCTGGCCCCCACCCGGGGGAGGCCTCGGTCTTGGGGGTGGCCCAGGCTTTTCCAGATGGGGTGCGAGTAGATTGGAAACAGACAAAGAGGGACATATACATAAGCTTTCCACGGTCCGCGCGGATTTCTTGGATCCGCGCTGGGGCCCTTTGGCGGCGCCTCTCCTGGCGCGCTCCGCGCGCCAGGGAGGGGGGTCCAGCGCAGATCGGACCGTCGACATTTTATGTATATGCCGTGTTTTCTTTTATAGATGGGGTCGGAGGATCGCGCCGCATCGCCGATGCATCGGCGATGCATCGGCGATGCATCGGCGATCCGCTCGATGCTGAGCCCGATTTTCTCCGCGCTGGCGTCTCCGATTACCGCCCACGTCGCCGATGCATCGGCGATGTGGCGCGATCCTCCGACCCCATCTACTCGGACCACATCTGGGGGGCCTCTAGAAGGGGGGGATCGCGATTCGAGGTTTTTATGTTTTTCACTTTTTGGGGCCTTCGGCGGTTTTCCAACCTCAGGATGCGTTCGAGCAGTTGCGCCTCGCCTAGAGCGGTCGGGGGGAGGGGGCCGATCGTGCCGAACGGCCACTGGGGACCCGAGTTATGACCCGAGAACGATGGGGCCCCAGGAGGGCCTCGGGCCTGGGGCCCCTGCAGCTCGTACCGACCTCGCCTCGTGAACAAACTTTGACGGGAGGTTGCTCGTTGTCCAGCTCTCGGGGCCCTCGCCGGGCCCTCTGACTGTCAAAAAACGACTCGGGGTGGAAAGCTGCTCCTGGGGGAAAGGGCGAGACCTTTGGGATTCTCATGGGACATCACACGCCGGGGGTCTGGTGACTTCTTCCAGGGACCCTGGAGGAAGCTCAACCATGGATTCAGGCGCGTGGATGGGCTGCGGGTCCCGCCTTCGTATCACATCGGCCCGATCGGTCGCCAAATCAGGCGGCACTGGCCTCACGTATGGTTGGGGGGTTACCTTCACTGATCCGTGAATATGGCGCCCGCGCACCAGATCCACAAAATCTATCATCCATGTCAGCGCGTGCCCGAATGAGTGCCATCCCATTCCTACCCTCTTCGTTCCTGGCCACCTCCCACACTGTCTCCCTCCCGCGTCCCCTCTTCCTCCCCGTGCCCCCGCTCCCCCTTGTCCCTCGTAGTCAGAGGATGCGCGGGGCATGCGTTCGAGATCCGCCTGCCGGCCCAGACAGCTTGCACTCGAGACGCTCGCTGGCGGCAGCCCCCCCTCGCCCTGGCGTCTCCTCCGTCCTCGAGGGAGCAGGAGCGCGCGCACGGGAGCAGGAAGGAGCGGGGAGGGGGTGAGGGGTGTGTGGGTGCCAGGGCAACGAGGATCGGACGAGGGGGAGGCGGAGACGGCGAAGAGAAAAGCGGGAAGGGTTGACATTGAGCAAGAGCAGACCACATCGGGCCACAACACCAAAGCGAGTCGCGTCTCTGACCAAATCAGGCCATAACACCAGGGCAGATGGAGGGGGGGGCGGTTCACGGGGGGGAAGGACGGGGAGCGAAGGGAGAGGAAGGTGGGGCAGGAGGAGTGGAGGGGGCGGATAGGGGCGGGGTCACGGCGAGAGGGGGCACGGGATGTGAGACCTTGGTTGACGCAGAAGGTGGTCCAGCTAAAGGAAGGTGGTGCAATAGATGTGAGGCAATCGTATCTCAATAGATGTGGGGCAATCGAATCGCATGGTACTGCACCACTTATGCGCCCCAGAATGTATTGCACGCTCCGAATCTGCTGCAACCCCACATGTATTGCACCAACTATACTGCACCACTCCTTTTTAGCTGGACCCCCATTTACGCCAACCAGGGAGACCGAGGGGGAGGAGGAGGCGTGCAGGGACGGATTGCTCTGTCCATCGCCAGGGGGGGGGGCGTCCACAGGCGTCTGGCGTCTTGAATGCCGACGGGGCCGACAGCAAAAATGAGGGCCGGCTGCTCTGGGCCCGCTTGTCGGGCCGCTTGTCGGGCCCCGCGGCCTACGGGGAACGACCCGCGGCGCGAGATCCACGCAGAAGGCACCGTCGAGAGTGATCCTCTTTTCGTACAAGTGAACTCATATGGGCGTGGGTCGAAATTTCGGTCGATGGATATCACATAAGGGGGTGCCGTGGTTGACGTTGTGGGGCAGCGCGCCGACATTGGCCAGATCTGGGGGCCCGTAGGTGCCCCAGACTCGTATTCCTCAATGCCTCTCCGAACAACGCCGACTGCGATAACCGATGCCCTTGCGCACACAAAGCAAACAGAGTGAGGCTAATGTTCCACGGAGCGAGCCAAAGGTCAATGCTCCAGCAGTTGAGGGCAGTTTGGCTTGTTCACCGAGGGAGGCGAGTGCGGGGTCATGGCATGAGGATAGAGAGGGAGAGAGAGAGAGAGGTCCACCTGCTGGCACGACGAAGACGACGACGACGAAAACGAAGACGACGACGACGACCCGCGCAGGATGGGGTGGTTGGCGCCGCAGCGCCTCAGATCTGCTTGTTCTCGGCGGCATGCAGCATTGTGAAGCTAATTCGTCCCGTCCACAGCATAGCTGGCATCCAGGGAACATGCAATGTCTGGTGATTCCATTGCTTTTTGTTTCCGTGTGGCCGTGGAGGAGTGGGAAGGAATAGGAGGATGGGGTACCACGCAGAGGTGCTCAATCACGCAACCTGCGTGGAGGATCTGAAGGTTCTCCCTGGCATCGGGCCGAAGGCCGACCGTTGCTTTCTGTATTGGTCCACCTTCATTGCTGATGGGATCTTTTTTGTCAGCCTTGTGGTCGACCTGGTCCTCTCTTACTGCTCCTATGCTTCGCGAATCTGCGCTCCACAGATGCTACACGGGTCATTGCAAGATGACCTCGATTGGCATGTAACAGATGGCCATGTCAAGTCTCTCAGGCGCGAGACGATATCTCGTCCTCCCGAATCCGCCGTGCCGTGCCGTGTTCTGTTCTGCTGGGCAGCGCCGAGTTCTGCTAGGCAGTGCTGTGCTCGGCCTCCAGGATGGAAGAGTTGGTCCCGCGTGCCGTGAGGCGTTTCGGGTTTCTATGCGGGTGTAATTCCGGCGGCGGGCCCGGCGGCACTGAGAAGGGGCGGGCTTTCTCAGAAGGCTCGGAAGCCCCCCAGCCTTCTGACAAGTTTCTTGAGCCTTCCACAGGAAACCTCCCAGAGGGCCGGAGGCCTTGTGAGAAGCCCCGCCGCCGCCTTCTGAGAAGGCCTTCTCCTTCTCATTTGCCCCTCTTGCTCGTCGCCGAGTGTTCTGCTATGCAGTGCCGCTTTCGGCTCCCAGGACGGAAGGAAGTTGCCGCCCGCGTGATGTGAGGCGCTTAGGGTCTCTAACCTCAGGACGTTATTGAGACACCCCCTTGTTATCTTAGCACCGCGCGAACAAATAAAATCCAGAGGGGGGAGTTTAGCCGAACGATGACTTTTAGCACCGCGCCAGACAGCCCCCCCCCGCAACCGACAGCTACAATAAGCACCAGCGGCAAGAACGCAAGGACCTTGACATTCGTTTCGAAAATGTGCAAGAGTTCCACAGATTGAGGACGGCTTGTTTTCAAAATGGGGTTCTCGCCCTAGCGCCGCGCACGTTCGTTCGAACAAGTTGCACGAATTTCACTGATTGAAGGCGGCTCGCTTTCAAAATGTGGCTCTCGAATTAGCGCCTCGCAGATGCGTTGTTGAACATTGCAAGTGTTTCACGGATTGAGGTCGGCTCGTTTTCAAAATATAACTCTCGCCTAGCACCGCGCATATGCGTTGTAGGAAATTGCACGCGCTCCACGGATTGAGGGTGGCTAGCTTCCACATCGCAGCTCTCGCCTTAGCGCTGCGCACGCTTGTTCTACAACATTTGCACGCGCCTCACGGACTGAAGGTGGCTCGTTGTCAAAATTTGGGTCTGACATTAGCGCCGCGCGCACTCGTTTTAAACATTGCACGAGTTGCACGGATCGAGGGAGGCTCGTGTTCCACACGAATTACACAGTGAGTTTGCCTCGCCGCTCACCGCGCGCATGCTGTGGTGGTAGCAATAGTAGTAGTAGTAGTAGTAGTAGTAGTAGTAGTAGTAGTAGTAGTAGTAGTAGTAGTAGTAGTAGTAGTAGTAGTAGTAGTAGTAGTAGTAGTAGTAGTAGTAGTAGTAGTAGTAGTAGTAGTAGTAGTAGTAGTAGTAGTAGTAGTAGTAGTAGTAGTAGTAGTAGTAGTAGTAGTAGTAGTAGTAGTAGTAGTAGTAGTAGTAGTAGTAGTAGTAGTAGTAGTAGTAGTAGTAGTAGTAGTAGTAGTAGTAGTTAGTAGTAGTAGTGGTAGTGGTGGTGGTGGTGGTGGTGGTGGTGTGGTGGTGGTGGTGGTGGTGGTGTTGGTGGGAGTAGGAGTAGTCAAGCTAGCCAGCTCGAGCGAGTCAAGCATGGCATGCCCAGTCCCACCCGCCCTCCCACAACATAAGAAGCAAAGCTGGCACAACTGGGGGCCGAAGTCACACCGGCCAGCCGGTTTGGTACAGCTGATGCGGCCGCGATGGCGGTTGCCGACGGGAACTGGCGAGCGCGTGTTGAATGCCGCGCACGCATTGCCAGACGAGTCGAGAATGGCCCGGTACACCGCAGGAAGCCTGAAGGCCCCAACTTGTATTGTTTTTTTATAAAGGGGGGGTTTGGATGGGCGGGCGCGGGGTGTGCGCCGCATCCCATTCCTGCCAAGCATTTTGCGACGTGGACGACAGGACGTCCATGCTGAGAGGAAAAACGTTGGTGCGCGGCGCCGACGCGAGAGCGACATGTCACCCCTTCGCGCGGGGTGTGCACCGCGTCCCATTCCTGCCACGCATTTTGCGACGTGACGACAGCACGACCATGTTGACAAGAAAAACAAAAACTGTGTATTGTCTTTTGCAGATTAGAATGGGACGGATTGGATGGGCGGGCGCGGGGTGTGCGCCGCGTCCCATTCCTGCGATGCATTTTGCGACGTGGACGACAGGACGTCCATGCGACGGTACCAATGACGGCGACGACTCTAGAAGGATTTGAGCATGCGCTCGCGGCGACGCGCGCGCATGTCGCCCGCGTGGTATTTTTTGCACAGGATTCGCGGCCTGGGTGCATGACAGAGCATCGCGAGTGCACCGCGCGATGACGTGAAATCGCTGGATTTGACCAGAATTCTTAAGATTCCTATGGTTTTCCTATGATTTCAGCAAGAGAGCCCGGGCAGGAAATTTGTAGAATTTTTGTGAAAAAGCATTGGGTTTTTGATGTTTTTATGTTGAAATGCTTGCAAACACACGGTGTTCGGTAGGATTCTGACATGAACGCGCGCGTGTGCTCTTTGTGGTATTTTTTGCAATGGATTATCGCCGTGGACGACAGGACGTCCATGTCGAGAGGAAAAAATAAGAAAAATGTTGATTTTGTATTGTTTTTTACAGGTTAGGATGGGACCACCCGGATGCGGCCCCTATCGGCCGGCCTGAGGGGGGAGTAGGAGTATATTCTAATAAGGAATAAGGATCAGGAGCTAGCCAGCTCGAGCGAGTCAAGCATGGCATGCCCAGTCCCACCCGCCCTCCCACAACATAAGAAGCAAAGCTGGCACAACTGGGGGCCGAAGTCACACCGGCCAGCCGGTTTGGTACAGCTGATGCGGCCGCGATGGCGGTTGCCGACGGGAACTGGCGAGCGCGTGTTGAATGCCGCGCACGCATTGCCAGACGAGTCGAGAATGGCCCGGTACACCGCAGGAAGCCAGAGGTGGCCGGAGGAAGCCCGACGGTCTGACAGGACACCCCAAAGCATTTTTGTGAAAAAGCATTGGGTTTTTGATGTTTTTATGTTGAAATGCTTGCAAACACACGGTGTTCGGTAGGATTCTGACATGAACGCGCGAGTGTGCTCTTTGTGGTATTTTTTGCACAGGATTGCGGCCTGGGTGCATGACAGAGCATCGCGAGTGCACCGCGCGATGACGTGAAATCGCTGGATTTGACAGAATTCTTAAGATTCCTATGGTTTTCCTATGATTTCAGCAAGAGAGCCCGGGCGGGAAATTTGTACAATTTTTGTGAAAAAAAAACATTGGGTTTTTGATGTTTTTATGTTGAAATGCTTGCAAACACACGGTGTTCGGTAGGATTATGACATGAACGCGCGCGTGTGCTCTTTGTGGTATTTTTTGCAATGGATTATCGCCGTGGACGACAGGACGTCCATGTCGAGAGGAAAAAATAAGAAAAATGTTGATTTTGTATTGTTTTTTACAGGTTAGGATGGGACCACCCGGATGCGGCCCCTATCTGCCGGCCTGAGGGGGGAGTAGGAGTATATTCTAATAAGGAATAAGGATAGGATAGGAGTAGGAGTAGGAGTCAAGCTAGCCAGCTCGAGCGAGTCAAGCATGGCATGCCCAGTCCCACCCGCCCTCCCACAACATAAGAAGCAAAGCTGGCACAACTGGGGGCCGAAGTCACACCGGCCAGCCGGTTTGGTACAGCTGATGCGGCCGCGATGGCGGTTGCCGACGGGAACTGGCGAGCGCGTGTTGAATGCCGCGCACGCATTGCCAGACGAGTCGAGAATGGCCCGGTACACCGCAGGAAGCCAGAGGTGGCCGGAGGAAGCCCGACGGTCTGACAGGACACCCCAAAACATTTTTGTGAAAAAACATTGGGTTTTTGATGTTTTTATGTTGAAATGCTTGCAAACACACGGTGTTCGGTAGGATTCTGACATGAACGCGCGAGTGTGCTCTTTGTGGTATTTTTTGCACAGGATTCGCGGCCTGGGTGCATGACAGAGCATCGCGAGTGCACCGCGCGATGACGTGAAATCGTTGGATTTGACAGAATTCTTAAGATTCCTATGGTTTTCCTATGATTTCAGCAAGAGAGCCCGGGCGGGAAATTTGTACAATTTTTGTGAAAAAGCATTTGGTTTTTGATGTTTTTATGTTGAAATGCTTGCAAACACACGGTGTTCGGTAGGATTCTGACATGAACGCGCGCGTGTGCTCTTTGTGGTATTTTTTGCAATGGATTATCGCCGTGGACGACAGGACGTCCATGTCGAGAGGAAAAAATAAGAAACATGTTGATTTTGTATTGTTTTTTACAGGTTAGGATGGGACCACCCGGATGGGGCCCCTATCTGCCGGCCTGAGGGGGGAGTAGGAGTATATTCTAATAAGGAATAAGGATAGGAGTAGTAAGTGGGAGTAGTAGTAGTCTTAGTCGTAGTCGTAAGTAGCGTAGTCGTAGCATTGTAGTAGTAGTAGTAGTAGTAGTAGTAGTAGTAGTAGTAGTATAGTAGTTAGTAGTAGTATTAGTAGTAGAGTCTGTAGTCGTAGCAGTCGTAGCAGGTTCGTAGCGAGTATAGCTAGTAGTAGTAGTAGTAGTAGTAGTTAGTGTAGTAGTGGTAGTAGCGTATAGTAGTAGTTCGTCAGTAGTGGTTAGGCGTAGTAGTAGTAGTAGTAGTAGTAGTAGTAGTAGTTAGTTAGTAGTAGATAGTTTTGTAGTAGTATTAGTAGTAGTAGTAGGAGTAGTAGTAGCAGTCTAGAAGTGAGGCAATAATAGTAGTAGTCGTAACCGTAGTAGTAGTAGTAGTAGTAGTAGTAGTAGTAGTAGTAGTAGTAGTAGTTGTAGTAGTAGTAGTAGTAGTAGTAGTAGTAGTAGTAGTAGTAGTAGTAGTAGTAGTAGTAGTAGTAGTAGTAGTAGTA